TTCAGTTTGTAATACTTATTAGTATTTATGCGGTGGTATCAATTTTGCTGGAGGAGGGAGAAGTAAGTATAATTGTGGACTGATACGGTATTGGTAATTGTGGTGCCGTAGTAATTGTGGACTAATACGGCAATGGCAATTGTGATGTGGTAGTAATGGTGGGGGGAGCGGGTGATGATAATAACAATTGTAGCAGCAAATAGTTATTGTAAAGTGGTAGAAGTGATCGTAGTAATGGTGATGGAATGATAATAACAATAATTTTAATTATTATGATGGTAGTTTGAACTAGAAAATAATTGATGGTGTCATGGTGTCAGTGGTTTCTCTTTTCATGTTTATAGGTCAATGGTGGTTTATGTAGTAGTGTTGGTTGGTATTTTTTTATCCGTTTGAATTCTGATAATAGGTATTTGTTTCATGTCTGCATTTAGTAATTATTTCTGATCTTATGTTTAGTAAATTCTTTTGTTGGGTATGAGAAATTATTGCTACCTTTTCGTGTAGGCATTTCTTATTAATGTTGTTGTAGGCAGGTGCTTTTTCCAATATTTTCCAGCTTATTCTTGGTGTAATATTTCTGTCTTTTAGATGCCATATGTATGTGGATAGTGTAGTGCTCTTTGAGTATTTTCTGTTGGAGAAAATTTTCTGTGGTCGTGGTTGGTTTTTCTTTTTTTTGGATGGTCCCTCAAGGGTACTGATGTAGTACATTGTGCTGTTGTTTGCACTTACCTTGGCTTTATATATCAGGTCATCCCATAAGTTCTGTCCGAATTTTAACTTTTTTTTAAAATGAACGAAATTTAAAGAGTATTTTATAATGTCTAATGGAGCTGAACATTATTTTTATGTTTAGATGCATTTAAACTGATCAAATTTTATTTCAGAGAACAATAAAATTAAATTTTGTTTGATTAAAACCCTGCTAACATGGAAGTACCCAAGAATCATTTGAGGCACATAATGCTTTATGAGTTCAAGAAAGGAAACTCAGCAGCCGAAGCGGCTAGAAACATTCACCCAGTTTATGGAGAGGAATGTGTCAATGAAAGAACTTGCAGAAGATGGTTTGCAAAATTCAGAGGTGGAGATTTCACCCTTGAAGATGAAGATCGAACCGGACATCCAGTTGAGTTTGATGAAAAGCTTCTTGAAGCAGCCCTTGAAGAAAATCCTGCTTTATCAGTTGAGGAATTGGCAGTGATTCTCAGTTCAAACCATAAAACTGTTCATCGTCATCTTCAACAACTTGGAATAGTTCCTAAACTTGGAAAATGGGTGCCTCATGAATTGTCTGAAAACAACCTGAAATCCCGAGTTGACATCTGCTCTTCTCTCCATTCTCGCCAACTTGTTTCACCTTTTTTGGATAGACTTGTGACTCGCGACGAAAAATGGAACTTTTATCGAAATTTTAAGCATCATAGACAAATGGCTTGGTAAAGGGGAAGGACCCCAGCCACAGCCGAGAAGTGAACTTCATGGGCAAAAGGTTCTTCTTTCAATCTGGTGGGATCGCCAAGGAATAATCCACTTTGAATTCTTACCACCTAATACAACAATTAATGCTCAAATATACTGTCAGCAATTAGAGCGTTTGAACCAAGCTTTGAGGAAAAAAAGACCTGGATGGAAGGAAGTCATAGATATTCAGGGAAAATACATTGTTGATTGAATCTGTAATTAAATGTAACATTTGGTCACTTGATTTCTTTATTCAAAATTCGGACAGAACTTATGGGATGACCTAATATTATATTCGTTTGTTGGCAATTTTCTTGGGGTAGACATATTGTTTTATTTCTGCAGTTGCATTGAGGTTCCTTGGTTGCATTATTGCAAGTTGTTACTTTTTTGTTGTGGCTTTTTGTTATTTGTATATTTTTTTGTGCAGTTGTAACTGATTTAACATTATTTTTGTTGAATATTTTTGCTAATCGCTTTGTTTCAGGGAAGTACTTTTCTATTAAGTTTAAGAATGTCCTTCCTATGTTTGTTTTGACGGTTTTGTTGTGTGGTGGGTTAAACCAGATAATATGTCTTTTTCTGTTTTTGCGCTTTGGTTGTGGAGGTGTGTATTGTAGTTGTTGTGTATATCCACTTTCTTTTAGTGCTTCGTCGTATGGTGTTTTTTTGTTATTGAAAATGCCTATGTTTGATGAGTTTTCAGATAGTCTGCTGATTGATATGGGTATTTGTTTGATGATTGAAGGTGGATGGTTGGAGGATGTGTGTACGTAAGTTGGGGTGTCATTTTCTTTTTTGTACGGTTCGTATGTATTATTGTTCTCTCTCTGTCTCTCTGTCTCTGTCTGTCTGTCTGTCTGTCTGTCTCTCTCTCTCTCTCTCTCTCGATAGATAGATAGATAGATAGATAGATAGATAGATAGATAGATATACTGAATGGCAAGCAGGTTGTTGATATAAATAGGTATGTAGCTGTCAGTGTAGGAAATCGATAGATCTAGTTGCTCTGTGAATGGTAATATTTGTGAATTGTTGCTACAGCATTCATCTTCTTGTCTGGCCCTCATTCACTGACATAATCCGACAAGATTAGCAGGCAGACTTCATTACATGAATGACTTACATCCTCCTAAGTCGAATAAGGGTAGCAGAGGGGGATTATCAACAAATTAGGACATGGCGGGATTTTCATAAAAATCTGTAACCTTGCCTCTATACTCACGTTGAATAATACTGTTCATTGATCTAATTATTGCTATGACTTATCACATAGTTTACCGGGATTTAGAATATGATCTACGTCGCTGGGTTAGTGAGACTCGTTAATAAAAATAATAAACTATAGAAAAATGATTTAAAGCTAGAATTACAGCATTGATACATAATAATGATAAATGCTGATTTGCTCTAATTCTAAGAGATTATAACAGATAGAATTATTGTGACACAGTATTAATGCGCAACCGAAAGCATTAGAGTGTAGCAGACAGTAATAGTGTGCAACAGGCAGCATTAATGTAACAGATAACCTTAAAGTCTAACAGACAGCATTAATGTAACGGGCAGTATTAGAATGCAGTAGACAGTATTAGAGGTCTGAACCTTTATATGCAGATTCAGTAGATGTTTAATCTTTTTATGTCTGAAAAATGTCTGCATTCAGTTTAAAAAATCAAAACGATTTGTAAATCAAACTTTAAAAATAGGCCATTTAAATCTATATATTTTATTAATCCATTATTAATAATATTAATCAAGTTATTTCGAAACAAGCCATGTAATATAGAAAATATCTCTAATGTATTGTCAAATCTGCCATTGCTTGTCTGGGATAAACTTATTGTACTAGCTTTTGTAAATTTAATGAAAGACGGTTTTAACAATGTAATATGCTTTTGATAAAGAGAAAAATTGTTACATTTTCACAAATGTAAATTACAAGAGTATAATCCCTTCCCATTTTCACAAACCCAGGGAGCAATCTAATTCCTACCACGATGGATAGAAGATAATCTCTTCATTGATTGAATCCACCATTGAGGCTAGAATAGTGTGAGAATCTTAGCTGAGATCAAGAAGTTGCGCTGTCAGTTATTGCTTGATGAAATTACGTTGCTATAGTAACAAACATTGCTTTGAATGCGGGTTATTATGTATTGGTAACAACAGTGATCATTCCAAAGGATTCTGTTATTTCTGCCTTCAAGTAACGTGATTATCCGTAACGTGACTATAATAAATAAATATTAAGAAGAAACAATGTTCCAAATAGATAACACTTATAAGTTGAATTTATGGGACCTAATGACGATCAAATTCATTAGCAATAATCAACAAAAGTTCTCCTCTATATTTTGAAGATATTCACTTTTTTTTTCATGCACTTGCAGGCATGATTCAATATTTAGACCAGGAGACAAGTGATTGAAATGTTGACAATTAATTTAAATTAATTTTCAAATCACTTGGGAGACGCTTTTCCTCTACGTTGGCTGGCAACACTCATAAAATACGAGCCAAGACCAAATATTTAATTATGTATATAATCGTACATAATTTACGTCACGTTGTCGAGAAGACGATTGGACTTATATCCATTATCATAAATAATTCTAAAAAAAGTAAAATTCTATTCTAACTTCAGCAGAAAAGAAAGTATCTAGATTAGTACAATAGAATTCATAATAACTAATTAACAGGACTACAACATTATAACATAAAATTGAAAGGCCGCCTCACTGTGGTGGTTAACGATCTAGGTCAATCATTACTACTGTTAAATAAATTCATTTTTAACTGGGTGCGGTCTTCTGACAAAACTATGTTTACTTAGTAAATAACTATTATCTACAATTATGTTATAAAAAAGGAGAGTTCAATTGTTAAAAAATATATGTTTAGATTTTAAAAGCTGCTTTAGTGATTTTATCATTTTAAACCAATCCTTGAAATAGCTCTTTCAAGTTTTATCGGATGAGAACGTAATAAGCAAGCACGTGGATACAACCTAATCCGGCCGGCGAGATTGCAACCGAAAATTGGATATTCATGGCTGTCAGCATATATGACATGTACAGGTGTGTCAGTTGAATTATATAAATTTTACTTGTAAGCTTTGCCCAGGAGATGAGAATCAGAAATGTGAATACCATTGAAAACAAAAATTGTGTAATCTGTAGTATTTATGTTATAACTGAGCATCGAATCTTTCAATTTAAGTGTTATAACAATAAACTCTCAGCTTGTTTTTCTATAATTTTCAGAACATTCATTAAATATCTTTTTTTGACAGTTCATTTTACCTTATATTTATGTTGTTCCTACAACGTTTCAATTGACCCATTTAACAACCTTCTTCAGGTGTACTAGGAAGAGCGATATTATTTTTCCGATAGTACAAAGCAAAAATCAGTTACTTGGTTAGGTGCCATTCGTGATGCACGCTTGGGCGATCATGTCTCTTGAACAATCGTGAGCACAGCTGAAAATGGCCAAGATAGACCTTGTCACTTGTTTAATTCGATTAAAATATGATGCACATCGCCGTCGTATCGCTCGCTTCTCTTCAGGTCGACCTTGTAACGCCACATACTCCTTTTTCGGATGATATGACCAAGAAATCGAAGCTGTCTTTCTGTGATGACCGACATATACCCCTTCTCACTTCAGCTCTTCCACGTTGGTTACCCTATCCGCATATGATATCCGCAGAATTCTTTTTAGAAACCACATTACATCTGCTTTGATATTCTTCTCAAGTTCAGGGTTTAAGGTCAAGTCTTCGCATCCATATGTCAAGGTTGACCATATGTAAGACTTGAGTAAACGAATTTTCAACTTCAACTTGTTTTTGTTGACAAAAATGGGACGCATATCAAGAAATTTCGTTTTGACAACGGCAATTCGCTTGCTGGTCTCTGTCTTACATCTTGCATCAGTTGTAATCACGTTTCCGAGATAATTAATATTCTACCTTCTCGGTGCATTTATTGTCGATTCTCAATTTGCATTGCGGTTACTCGGCTGATTTACTGATGACCATTGATTTGGTCTTATCGCAGTTAATTGATAGCCTCTTTACTGCGCTTGGTTCTACTACTTTATCCAAAATTAGTTATATTTCTCCTTTTGATGTTGATATCGTGTCATCAGCATGTTATTGATGTTATTTATGTTGACACCAACTACTTTCAAAACTGATCATGTCAGTTATCATGCAGACAATGATATCACAATAAAAATTGAAGAAATCGGATAAATGCACACAACTTTGTCTCAGACCTTATAGAATACGTATCCATGCTGCCAACACATCTTCGACTTGAACAGCAGTTTGCTGATTCCAGTATAAATTACTGATCAGCTGAATGTCCTAGCCATATATTCCAATTTCTTGCAGAAGTTTCAAGAGCTTTTTATGCTGAACCTTATCAAATTATTTCGTGTAGTTGATGAAATGAAGAAAAACCACCTGTTGGTGTTGAATGACACGCAAAGCATTCGTAGTGTAACGATGGGGTTTCTAGTTCATTCATCCGGTATGAAATCAAATTGTTGTTCTGGGATCTCTGGAATCTCTATGATAAGGAGGAACTTAACGCTGCGATTTATGATGTTGATGTTCGACGGTCTTTACATTCTATAACAAAATACTGATAGTTCGATGATCTTTACTTTCTACAGTACAGGGATTTTTCGGTAATACGATAGAAACGAAATGTAGAAAATCGTCCGGTTTAGCTACGGTGTGAGATTGAAAGTTTTGTACACCATTTATATTTCATCTTCCATAGCTTCGAGCGTTTCTGTTGAAAAATCATCGGGACAAACTGCTTTATCCTTCTTCATCTTTTTGATTGCATTCTGAATCTTTAGTTTTCTCCAGTCCTTTAATATCAGGCGGTTCTCCTTTGGTGTCGGTGAACAGTTCTTTAATTTAACGCTTACCACCCACTTCCAATATCATATGCCGTTCTGAACGAATACGGACGCTTCGAATGTTGATCTTTTGTCATAGATTTCGTTTGAGTTTTGCGCTATTTCTTTCTTCTAGTCCTTTGCCTCTGCTTTTATTCAAGCCATCTTTTCTTTGTTACTTTACACTTTATTCGTATTTCACTACACATTCGGTTATATTCTTCACTTGCCTTCGCTCTTTCATCAAATTCAATATTTCTTCAGTCATCCATTCTTTGTCTGGTCTTATTAGTTTCTTCGTCGGAATGCTGTTAGCTGCTGCCTCCTGGAGTTCTTTAACTACGTTTCAGAGTTCATATCTTGAAGTATTTGTATCAACCGCCCCAAAACCCTCCTCCTTACACTTGTTCCAAATGTTGCGATTCTTAAGCTCTTTGCATTGAATCCTTTTCTTCTTGGTGTCTTCCTTATTATTATTTTGTAATCGAAACTACATTGTAATAACCATCCGCTTCGCAGTCGTAATAGGTTCTTGTATAGTTTTTGAGTTCTTCGCGGTATTTTGAAAACGTTCGTTTAAAGTGATGTAATCAATCTGGTTTCTAGTGTTTAGGCGCGCTTCGGTGTTGTTTGAACCATGTATTAGTGACTACTGTGCAGTTTCTCCTGTTCTTAACCAAGAACTTGTCGCTTCTAACATTCGGGACTCCAGGACCAAAATGGCCAACAATTATCGCAACTTTTCCTTTACCTCATCTTTGCGTTCAGATCTCCCATCGTGATCTTAATTTCATTTAATTTGCACTTTCGATAATCCTGGTCAACCGTTTCGTAAAATGTGTCAACCTCTTCTTCATTAGCACCTAAATTGGGGTGGGGTCGTATACCTGTATAATATTGATGTTAAAGGATTGCCTTTAATCTTGAGAATGACCCGATCGGAAAGAGCCCAATGTCCAATTTGAGGTTTGCTTATCCCGAATCATTTTACGCCTTTCCCGTGTTTCTGACTGCCCGAGTACAGTAATCTTTTCGCATGGTTCCTGACTCTGTTAATCGTACTTCGCTCATCCGCAATATGTTTATCTATTTCAGTACGATGTCCGATTTTACCGCTTGGAATAAAATTTTCACATTCCATGTCGATATGCGAATAGGTTTTTGGTAACTTTTAACTGGGTGATAGTCGATCATGACCTGAACAACATAACGAGTCTTACCGAGCGAGGAACTGCCTCTCTGTACAAGTGAAATAGACTCTTTATGCTACTGTTATTATCATCTTTTGGTTTTCAATTCATGATTAACTTGTCAGAAAATTCCCTGCAATAAGTTGCCATTACTTTCTGCGATAGTAATTTTCTTTTCTTTTTTATCGTAGCACCATCACTATGTGGACTGTTGATCAAGACTCGGAGAGATTCGTACGTACGTGTATTGTTCTTAGCGTGTTCCCAGAATTTGGAAAACGCTGTATCTGTGAGAGCTCACATCTACGAGGTAGTATAAGGCCCAAAACCTGAGGAAAAAAGAGATCGAGGCGAAGGGTCAGCCAGTATTTATAGCCAGGGGAGAGAGACCCCTGTTGAAGGATTAAGGAACTAAGGAGGAGCTAACTCCGACAATACCTCCCCTCAGATTGAAAGTTGTAGAAAACAAACTTTTAATATGTAAGAAAAAGTTTCATGAAAGTTTTGAATATTGTCCTTGTGAACTGAAAAGAAAATGTGTCTAAGTGTGGTTGAGATACGTGATTCGACGAAATGTGCTTGTGTTGTCATCAGGGTGCTCGGTGCTGTGTATTTCTCTAGTCGGTCAGAATCGGGGCACGTCCTGGAAAAACGTCGGTAGTGGTCTGTGTTAGCTATCAAAATTTGTCTTTTTTCCAATGCTCCACGTTGAATTGGCTTTGTCGTCCCGTCAACCTGTTTGCTGGCCTGGTCGAAGTTTTGTTTAAAAAACGACGTTGTTGGTGTGGTATGCGTGGATAAATTTGGCGCACAAAAGTTAATAGAAGCAGCGTAGTCGTGAAATTTGAGATAAATTTCTACCAAGTGTCGAATGCATGTTTGAGAAAATTTGCTGGTATTGTCGATTGAATATCGCACTTGCAAATTCTTAGTTGCATTGTTGCAAAGATAAAGGACAGTGAGTCGCCTTTAGTTTGAGATGTGGTTCACACTTTATCTATTTCAGTCCAGAAGAAAGGAGTTTTCCGTTTGGTAAGCCGGGTGAAATTAGGTCAAACATCGCCGAGAGAAAGAAAGTGCCAAGCAAATATAGACCAGTGGGGAAAGAGTTCTAAGTCTCGTCTCATAGTATTAATTGCAGTTGTTCTAGTGGCGATTAAGGCTTCTGTGATTTCCACGTCTTGAAAATGCTTTTTGCTGCGCAGGAGAAAATTGTTTTGTAGACCTGTTGTAGTGAATTAAAATTGTGATTTTGTACTTTCATCAGTTTAATCACAAATTTTTGTTGCTGTATAAAAGTTCTTTCGTTTATAGTGCACGGCGTGCGTAGGATACGAAAAGAAGTTTTTTCATTGTTTTTCCTATCTGGCTCTATTTTGGGAAAGTGTGTGTAAATGTGAGTTTGTACATATATATCGTCTTGTGTGTTTTAGCAGGAGTTGAAAGATAAATCACGTCGGGAAGTCACCATTATGTAGCGGACAGTTGGGTGATGAGTATGTATTGTAGAATGTGGGTAGAATTTCCTGCTAGCCAGTCCAGCTACACGAGAAAGTTGGACTTTAATTAAGTCCAAAGGAATCAAACAAATATATGTATTAAAAAAAAGGTTACAAGTTACAAGCACATGGACAGTTACATAGAGTTTGTGTGTTGAATATTATGTGTGTGTGTTGTGGTGAGTGTTCGTACGTACGTGTATTGTTCTTAGCGTGTTCCCAGAATTTGGGAAACAATGTATCTGTGAGAGCTCACATCTGCGAGGCGGTATAAGGCCCAGGGCCTGAGGAAAAAAGAGATCGAGGCGAAGGGTCAGCCAGCATTTAGAGACCCCTGTTGAAGGATTAAGGAACTGAGGAGGAGCTAACTCCGACAATGGTACTGCTATGTCAATAAGCATACACTTCCTGAATTTCTTGTTTTTTATGATAATATCAGGTCTGTTGGCTTTTATTTCCTTGTCAGTTTGAATTGGCATGTCCCAGCGGATAGTTACATCGTTATTATGGGGTCACTGTGTCTGATTGTTGCTCATACCATCTCTCAAAAGTTTTGATTTTGTACTTCTTAGATATCTTCCGGTGAACATATGTCGCTACCTTCTTATGTCTGTGGGTATAATCATTTTTTGATAGTTCCGGACATCCTGAGATAATATGGTCGACAGTTTCATCATATTTTCCGTAGATCCTGCATTTCGAGTTAGTTCCATCCTTGATTATGTGACAGTGATAGGATCTGGTTGCGAGGCTTTGGTCCAATAATTAGGCCTCCTCTCTCAGCTTTCAACCAGTTGATCCTTAGCCACTGATGTGTTTTCTGTTGGCTCACATCTGCTTCTTTGGTTCTTTTTAGGCATTTGCCATGCAACGCCTTGTCCTCCCGGATTTTTTTTTTTTTTGTAATTTCATTTGGCCAAGTTGTTTTGCTTTCTGTTTTACTCGTTTGGTATAGATGGCATTCGCTTCGTCTTTTATTGGCAAGATTTCAGTTATATTAAGCTGTTTCTTGAAGAATGCAGCTTCTTTGTTGATGGAGTGGAATTGGTGTAGATGGTCATTGGATTCCATTCCGATTGTTGTAGTTTTTAGAGTTAGTTCAATTTGGATTAGATCTAAGCTCTTGGTACGTACAGCCTGTGACACGCACCGGTGGTCGCTGTCGCAGTCCAGCGCCAATATGTGATGTCCACTGGTCGCGATGTCAATATCTGACGCTGCGCCGTCGGCCCGTGGTCAACTCCCAGTTGCGGCGCGAAGCTGTAAGGTTTCTTCCACCAGCGTTTGAATCGTTGTCGCCGCCACCAGCCTGTGTCCCGGTCGATCTGGTCGTTTACGGTTCGATACCAACTTTGGCGTTCTCAGATCGCCTCCAACGCCTGGTCACCGAAGTAACCGCTTTCATCTCAAATCTAACCTACCCACGTTGTGACTTTGATCTTAGGTAGACGAGATCAATCAGGCGTCGGGCCGTAGTGCAAGCTGAATCCGGGGTAAAGGTGATGCCGCACAAGCGTAAGTAAAAGAAAAATAATAAAACAAACTCACGAGGTTCAAATATGTTGAGAAATAACAATTATCTTTATCTATTTGTTGAATACAGGAGTGTGTTTCCTTCCCGGTCCGTATTATACGTTTCTTAAGCGAGTTATGGTATCTTAAGTCGTTCGTCATTAAAAACTTGCTTTTGGTAGGAAGACTAAGTCGTAAAGGACGTGGAAATCTTGGTCAGCTCCTGCGAGGCGCTATTCTCCGAGCTCAACAGCTCTCTGTCAAATAAACACTACGTCTCCGATCTCCAACCCAACTCAACTCTGAACGCCCGGTGACGTTTGTTTTGGACACAAAACCGGGTTGGGGCCTGTCGTGGTTTGGGTTCTTTGACAATTCTTAATTCCCAACCAAAAACAGGAAACTGTATTTACTTCCCATTTTTGGAAGCTAATCACTTTCCCTTTCGGGGTTTTTCTCCCTCGTCCGTGAGGAGAGGTCATAGGAGAATTATCCTCCTAGACTCTTCCTTTCTCATATTGGTATCTCATACCAATCCTCTTAGTGGGTGTCAACAACTTCCTTCTCATAAATTCACCTTCACCCATCACTCGCGCCACCACTCAGTCAATGATCACACGGCAGCGTGGGTGTAGCTAGACTTGGCTTTCTTAAAATTATCGTCCAGAAAAAAAAATTATCTTTTCCTTTCTTTCCTACTTTTCTATCGGCCAGAATTTTTATGAATTCCACGTGGCCTTAATTAAAATTTTATCTTATCCTGAGCCATCCAAAATCCACTTAGCAGAATTTCTACCGATTCATTAAGCCAGTCAACTTTTAAACTGGGTGGTCATTTTTACTTGATAAACTAATTCTTTATTTTTCTCGTGTATTTAAATTTTTGTGCCACCAGATGCTCATTTTCGAGCCACCATGTCGGACAATAATAATGACCCCCCCCTTCTCGACCCTCTCTACTCATGTCAAGATCCGGACATACTCGCTGGACACAAGAACCAAAACTAAATGATATCTCTGAAAGATAATTAGTGGCTATTCTTTTAGTGTGGTCTCATTGAAATTCCTTCCCGGTCGCATGCGTGGCCCAGTTTTAGAATTCTGTTTTCCTTGCCGTGATCACTATCTGATCATGACATTAATTAATTCTGACAGAATCCGAAATCTGGTTTTCTCTTACGGATTTTCTGAGAAAAAGTATCTTTTCTCGTAAATGAAATAAAATCTTTTCCCATTCATTTTTTTTTTTTTTTTGTTAAAAAAAAATGTCGCTCGGTCTGTTCTTCGATATAGCTCTTTCTAGCCTTAAGTATTTCTCGTTTTTAATTTCTATGCTTAATTAGTTAGCCAATTACCATAGCTAAATAGTGTCACAGCCTATCAACATCTGATTTCGGGTGTTTCATCCTCATTTAGGTAAGCATTTTCTGGTCTTGGTGTCCAATCTTTTAATGTCATTCAACTTCCATTTAATAATGTTGAAGCTGTATGTTACTACTAGTATAGGTAAGGTGTTGATAGCCTTCATTTTATTAGCCCCATTAAGTTCACTTTCTAGTATCAAATGCACTCTCCTATAATATTGTTTTCGGATCTTTTTCTTCATAATTGAATGTTGTATTCTATCGCCTTCACTAATTCCTAAGTATTTGTATATATCATCTTGGTCTAGTTCCTTAATCTTGTTGCTGATATCAAGCTCTAAATTTGTAGTTTTCGTTAGTTTACCAACTTGAAGGATACTTTGGTACATTCGTTGATTCCGAACTCCATCCTAATATCTTCGCTGAACGTTTTGACAATGGTGAGTAGGTTATTTTTTTGGTTGTCATTCTTGGCAAACGTTTTAAGATCATCAATATAGAATATGTGATTCAGTTTGCCATTCTGTGACTTGTATCCGTAGCTACTATTGTTCAGTAGGCAAGTGAGAAGAGTAGTGATAATAATGAATCACCTTCGAAGATCTCCTTTTTGATGTTGATTAGTCTCGATGTTAATGACCCGTTTGTATAGTTTAGGTTTATTGTAGACTTCCAGTTCTTCATGCTCTCCGTTTCGAATTTGACCGTTGTGGAGCATACTCTGTATATTTTAGGTTCTTCTCTATCCATGGGTGCCTTTCTGTAATCGATCCATGTTATTGTTAAGTTTCCTTTCCTTGTTTTCACCTCTACCAATATTGTTTTATTAATAATCCGTTGGCCATTGCACTCGTAATTTCCTCTTCTATATCCCTTCTGTTCTGCTGGGAGTAAATTTTTTTCTCAATGAAGTTGTATGTCCTCTCGGTTATGATAGAAGGGAGGATCTTGTACTTTGTTGGTAAGCAGGTAATGGGCCTATAGTTCTTCGGTTTATGCGTCTCTTTTGTTTTGGGGAGTAGGTATGTTACTTCTCACGTGAGCCATTTCTGGGTTTATGATTATATCATTGTATGCCCGTGCGAGGTTTTGGCGGGTGCTAAATATGTTTTTTATCCAAAAATTGGCTATTCGGTCTATTCCTGGTGCATTCCAGTTTTTGCTTTTTCCTATGTCAGCGATTGTTTCAATAATATTGATATCCCTCCATTTTTGGCACTCTATATGCATATGTTGTTCTTGTTGCTTGATCCATGTAGCTCTTTCATTGTGCATTTTGCTGTTTTCCCACATCTTACACCAGAATTCCTCGATTTCCAGGATATTAGGTGGATCACTTATCTCTATTTTATTTCATCCTAATTCTCGATATAGTTTCTTGTCATCTTCTTTGAAGGTTTTGTTTTGCTAAAAGAATCTGTTTCTTTTTCATAACGCCTGATTCTTTGTGCCTTCGCTTGAATTCATTGTTTCAGCTTCTCTTTAACTTTTGGTACGTCAGTCTTATTCTTTATGTCAAGGCTTCCTTGCAGTTGTTTCCTTTTTCTTTCATTCATTTTTGAGCCTTTGTCTGCTTCACTCAGAAGACGTAGTTTATTTATTTCGTTTCGTTCTTACTTTTGGAATTATCGGCCTTTCCTCGAAAGACATTTCCTTTACATTTTCCCGTTTATATCGGATGTTTTTTGTCATCTCTATTTCTCTATCATATTCGTCATTATCTTCCACTATTTGCTTGTGTGTCTAAAAGGGATTATTACAACTGGTTTCTATTTGTTCCTCTGCATATGTCTCCGCTGGCTATTTAGCCCCTCGATGTTAACATTTAATTTATTTTTGATATTTTCTCGGATGCTTTCAAGTTCTATGTCAGGTATTCTTTTTTGTCTTTTTTGTCAAGTTCTATGTCAGGTATTCTTCCTATCTATCTATTTATCTCTCTAATACCAAAAGTTGTGCGTACGCCGGCCGTCGGGCGCATAATGCTTTAAGTTTCTTTCCACCTCTCTCTTTTTCTCCTTCTCTCTTTTTTCACCTCTCTGTCTTTCCACCTCACTCTTTCCACTTCTCTGCAGCTTGCATGATTTCAACTTTCTTTAAACAAACAATATTTTAAATATTAAAAAATATATTATTATTATTATTATTATTATTACCTTAGTTGTTTATAAATTCGAAAAACATTGTTATAAGGAATCGTTATGTTATAGTATAAGGTGCGGTTATGGTGAAAGTAGAGGTTAGAAAATAGACGTTACAATTAGGATCACCTATCCTCCAAAAGCGAAAATTACGTCTTCGTTGATTAATATGTAGTATCAATTTTTTTGGATTGTTTTATTTGTTATAATTCAATATACGTGTTCATTGTATAATGTAACAAAATGTAACAAATTGTCTTGAAAAAATTATTCTGAATGTTTGCATTTTCCTTTTTTTATCATATATAAAATAAAGTTTTAAATGTTTAAAATAAATAAGTAAATAAATTTATATATAACGTATTAAAACTTCATAATATACTATTGTTTAACGTATACAATTCATGTAAACTTATAAGATAAATAAATGATGAGCATAATAAATATATAAGATATATACCTCAATTTAAAACACAACTAAATAAACTAGATAAATAAATAGATAATATAATAAAAAATGATTAATAAATAATATAATAAACACAATAATTATAATTCAAAAATCGGTAGCAAACTGAAAATTCAGAATGTTCACAGCAACTCGTGCAGTACAGCTTGTGTCGTAAATGTTTAACGTAGAGATTTCTTTCGTTGCCAAACAAAGAAAACCATCCTTTGTCCTTGTTGAATAACAAAAACTACACCACGTCGAAGGCGACATTACTCAGACATGTATTGAGCAGACAAGTTGATATCTGCCGATTCTTTCAATTTTCTCTCGGCACCCGCTGTCTATTATTCAGACTTCCCTTTAGAAATGGTAATGTACACTTTTCTTCTCTCTCCATATCAGACTTGCTTCAAATAATAAAAGAACCATATTCTTTTTTATTTTCTGTTTCTTTCTCACTTACATGCACAAATGCATATACTAATACACCTGTACAAGCATTTTTTTAATAAATCATTTTTTAATCTAATTTATAGCTACGTACTCCCTAAAAATGGGAATCGAATGAAACGCGTGTACTGAAAGTAATAGCACATAGTGCCACTAGGTGTCATAATTCTGAACTCGTCTATTACGTGGCGTGTTTTTGGATCAACTGATTTGTTTTCTTCATTTTTCTATTTGGTTGTATGCTCCCCTTAGATGATTTTTAGGATTGCTGATAAGTAAATAAAATAAAAACAGACAGTTTATATATTTTTTACGAGAAAAAAAAAAAAACTTTAAGAAGGGATAATTTCTATGGCAAATGTTCTGACGAGCTATATCCCTTAGATCAATCAGCCATGATCTTCACAGCTAAGATTCGCCATGACATGTACAACAGAAAAAAAAATTAATCCCAATTCCAGCTTCTTCTCAATAACTTCTGCTTCAGGGAACAGACTCCCGAGAGGATAGTTACCCGATCACTACAATCTTAAATTCTTAATCAGGTCTAAAGTTGACCTGTACTTCTTACTTTCTTACGTGCAACAACCTCAGTCATAACTCTCTACCTTGAGTGCCTCATGAGCCTTGTAATGGATAAATAATTAGTAAAAAATAATTGAATTCAATTCAAAACTAAGATTATAGTATAGCTGTTAATTTTATCTCGTTTAAAAGAGGTTTCCCTTTTACTTTGTTATATATAAGTTTTCATCTAACTTTCATATAAAAAATTGAGAAGACATTTATATTTGGTGTATGCATTCTGTGGGTGTATTTTAGTGCTTCACTGTAGCGATTACTCAAAGAAAACCAACAAGGGAGACAGAAAAGTAAAGTGGGAGAGGTAAAGAGGAATTTGGTAAGGGATACAGAAGAAAGATAAAATTGAATTCTAAGATTAAATAGCCTTACCTTTTCATCGTTGTGTCTATATCCAGATCAATCATTACAATGGCGAAAAATAGAATAAAAATAAATCTAAAAGGCTGCGCGAAGAAGTGATAGAATTAATTTAAAGTTTTGCTACGCACACACACATACACACACACGCGTGTTGTGTGTGTGTATGTTTGTTCAACAATAAATATAACCTAAATTTATAATATGAAGATGGGAAATAGGAATGCGACTAAAGTTTTTCAATAAATGTTCAGTAAATTATTATTTGCCAAAAGAATCTGTTTCTTTTTCATAACGCCCGATTCTTTGTGCCTTCAGCATTACTACTTATTTTATAATCTTTCAAATTTTTGTTATTTTTTTCAAATCCTTCGCCATTTAGTCTCTGCACCTTCATTCAAGTGTGAACTGGTAAAACGTTACTTTTTATATGAGCCAACGAGAAAGACAGTTTCTTGTTAAAGATTATTCATATATACATGAAGATTCACGCACTGACACTTTTTCATCAGGTGTCAAAGCACATCATTACAAATCCTGCTGCGATTAATACTTATTTACATTCACAAAAAAACAAGATAACATTACCCTATATTATGCATTAAAATAAATCGTTTGTAATCCATTCTTATCTTTCTTTAGTTCATTCATTTATTTCACTAATTCAATAATACGCCTGAATCCACGCCCCCTTTCCAGTCAAGAACACGTGACTGTGGCCGTCATGTTTTATCAATTGACTTTTTAGGATTTATGATTTGGGATTATAGCCAACCACAAATGTTCATACTTACGAAGAAGGTGAGGACAAAACAACTAATAAATGGCGTAAATTAATAAGCAATTCTTTTGGGGGATGGGGCATGGATTAATCTATATGCTGTCATTGTTAGTGTTAAACAAGTTTCGGGATATATGATATGCCATGTCGATATAAAATGGCGCTTAATTGTATTAACAGTTGCAAACACATTTAACTTGATATAATGAATTTGTAAACGCTATTGAAGCATAGAACGATGGAGAAAAACTATGCTGTTAAAGAATGGGAAGAACATATTAATGATACACAAAATGATCATGTATCTGTAATTTTCAACATAGAAATGTAAACTAATTTTTGTGTTCTGAAATGCGAAATCATTTCCCAGGATCCTGCCACATGTTGTAAATTACTAAAGTAGGATATAGGTATCTGACAATTTAATTGCTAAGTTTGGGATGGAAAGTGAACATGGATTTCTATATTCTCTGGTTCTCCAGTTTAATATATACTTGAAATATAAAATAAAGATTGAAAATTAAAGAATGAAATTCTATTTAACATATTTTTAAAGTAGGGTCTGTTTGATCGTTCTTAATCTAGTTAAAATGTGAGGAAAAATCGATGCTGTTCGAGATGTAATCGAGAGCGACCGATGATTAAATACACAACAAAATAATAGAAAAATAAAATAGGCGTAATAGCTAACAACAAAGACATCTCAATTGGTTCTTTCCATACAATTTTATATGAAAAATGTAAGTTGAATTTCTAAGTTTCTACTCGTTGGGTACCAAAACTGATACACCCAGATCAGCAACAGAGAAGCACAGAGCTGTCAATGAATATCTTATATAAATTGGATGAAAATCCTGAATGCTATCCTAGACAAATTGTAATTGGGGATGTAACTTGACTTTGACAATACGATCATGAAGACCAAGCTCAGCCAAACAATGGTTACCCAATATTGGAAAGGTTCCTCTCAAAACAAAGGCAAACTAGTCAAAATGAAAATTTATAGTAACAGTTTTCTTGGATGCTGAGTACAGTTTGATAGTTGACTTTTTAAAGAGGGCAAAGACAGTAACATCTGCTTATTATGAAAGTGTTTTGAGAAAATCAGCTAAATATTTAGTAAAAACGCACCGTAGAAAGCTTCATTAGGGAAGGATCTTTTTCTACTACGGCAATGCCCTACCCATTCCATTGCGAGAATTTCGATAAATCATAAACATCCACTTTACAGTCTTGAATGAGCCCCTCCTTTTTTATTCTTTCGTAACCTTTTTATACCCATTTTGAGATTATTAATGGTATAAAAAATGCTGCCTTGACATGGTTAAATTCCCATGACCCTAACTTTTTCCAGGATTGTATAAATGAATAATATCATCAGTGCTTTGATGTTGATGAAGCTTCTGTGAAGAACTAAAGCCTATAATTTAAATAAACAATTTCTCTTACTTTGTAATCTAAATTTGGTTTCTATTTCATCTTTATCTTTCATTGCTCAAAGTAATTATGTCTTCCAATAACTTTGACGCTCCCTCTTTCCACGAATTTCAAAGACTCCTCATATGTATTTTACAATGTGCGAATACTATCAGTATTCGATATGAAAATGTATTTTTTTAAATGCAGTAAGAAGTTTCTAATGAACGCCGTCCTACAATCAGGTGAGAAATCGTCGAATCAGAGCGTTGCCCGATACAAAGACTCTTTTACTCCTGTTTTGTTTAAAACTCTTAGGACGTTTCTTCATCTCTTTTCGAAATGCCTTCCAAAATTTCCGATCTAAGCGACGTCACATGAGCTGCCCTGTTACTCTGAGTTCTCATCAGTAGGATTACATGAATTATAGTTGGTAACCACTTGGTAAATTGTTCTTTTTTCCTCACCAAAATTTGTAAGAAATGAACAATCATGATTTTAACTATGAATAAAACGTTTATTTTATTTTACCGCATAAATAAATGGTCACATGCCTGATCACACTTTAAATTAAATCTTGACAGCGGAAGTCAAGTCCAATATAATGTTTAATTGGCTGCTCCTAGATACAGAGCAAACTTGCTCAGACAAGGAAGAAGATATGTATATGAACTGCTACAAGTCAGTTTTAGCTGGTACCTTTTATATCTACGATTCGGAGGCTGCTACAACTGTCAACTCTAATTTTTAACGTGCGGCTTACAATTACTTCTTTCTACACAAATAGTCCAATGTCGCGCGTAGCACTTTTCGCTGGAAAAATGTTAAGAGTTGAACTACTCTTCTTTCTTTCTAAGTATATATTTTCTCTTCCCTTCTCCCCCGACCGGAGGGGGAAGTCAGATTAGGGCTCCGAGCTGTGCTTTGTGACCCTCTTATCAATATTTGCTTTTTCTACTAACATTTATATTCGTTACAAATTAAACTAAGCACAACTGACTTTTAAAGGATGAAAAATCTTCGCAGATTTTAACGTAATTCTGGCTTCTTTTTTTTCCCAAATCCGTGAATTTGTTTTGCTAATGCTAAGTCTAAAAAATTTTATGTAGTAGAGTGGGGGAAGGGCAATCATATGTACGGTGGGGTGCTCCATATCATAGATTCGGTGGGGGTCTACGAGAACCTTGCATCGGTCTTGTTCTCCCCTTTTAGTTTCAATGCGGGAGTAGGGGTTCTTCTTTGCTAATTGCTGTGTGCATACCATTCGCTACTGAATGCAAATATTTCATTCGTATCGTTTTGTATTTTTCAGGATTTTGTATTTCAGCAAATAAAATTTTAACCTAATTTTCTTGTTTTGGGGAATTAATACTTTAGCCAAGAACATCGTCCGGCTTATTTCTGTCAACTTCTCGGATACAGAGTGTGTATGGGGAAAGGGAAATTGTGATTAACTGGCCTGGATATTCAAATATTACTCGGTTTTAATGAGGTTTTATTTAGTTATTTCTCAGTTCAAATCCAACAGTTTCCAAACGCTAGTAACATTTATTGAATAAAATCCATTTTCTAAATTGATTTTTACACCTTTTTTTTACATCGTTTCCCCAGATGCAGGGAATAAAACCGAATTTCTTCAAAAATCCTTCCTCTAATTCTATTATGGCAAAACGATAGTCTACCTGAGGTACTCGTAATATTGCCATCTTCAATTCTAATTGCTAATATACATTTTTATCGTGAAGAATTATAGTTCTAAATAAATAATTATTTCTACACAATCAAAAAACTGAACACCATTTTTACATATAATGTGCACATTTGTTAAACATTTTAAGGCTGTATTTACTTATTTGAAAAGTATGAATCTAATGTTGATAAATTTTAGACAGAAGATAACTTTTCGGAATCAAACGTTATAACAAATTTAAATTGCATCTATTTTGATGATAACAACGTTAAGCACGAAATTTTAAAAAAATGTATATATGTATAAAGTTAATCATTAATCAACAAAAATAGCCTAAACATAACTAAAGAAAATATACTATTGAGATGACAATAAACGTTTATTTTGCTGACTTTTCTAGTTTCCACTTTAATGATATTTGCAGTAGTTTGCATTGCTTCCCAAGGATCTACTTTGGTTTGTCACTGTTTTTCATTCTCACATACACCTCATTTAATGATAGAAAACAAATTTTCTGTTGGATTACTATCTGAAAAGGCTAAATTTATTAATTTTATAATTTTTAACTCTTTTGGCAAGGTAGGCACTAGTCCGTAGAATGTGAAGGAGCATTATCTTGCATAAAGATATATTTCCGTTTCTTGGTTGTGACCTATGCCGCTCAGTAATATATTGTCTGACAATTTACAATAATTTCTACATTTATCTTGACAATATCGTCAACTTTGAAGGGACTAATTATTTTGCTTCCTACAATCCTACCACTAAACATTGTCTTCTATGTCTCGTTGGTTGACAATTTCTATGAAGGACTCATCCAGCAACCAAGACTCTACATTTTTTACCAAAACATTACTGTTGAGAAATTAGTATTCATATACTTCTTCGACCAACCTGCATATTTATCTTTGTGTTTTTCAATTAAAGGTTGTATAGTTTGCTTACTATCTCTTGAACCAATGTTCTTAATATTCTGCATCTTTTCTATCGGTTTACATTTGCAACACTTCTTCAGATATTTTCTTTTTCAATACCCTTTTCTGCTTCCTACTTTTAATTTTTCGCAGGACTCTTAATAACATTCTTAAAGTCTGTTTTTCATTCTCTTTTGTTCTTAGCAATGTTTTCAATTTCATTTCAGCTGTCCTGTGATTTCTGTTCAACTTTCTCGCAATTTCCAACATTACATTATCTTGCTTCTCTTTTCCCGTAGTATCCTTCTTATCAATCGTAATTTTATATATCTGAAATTAAAAAGTAAACAACAGTATCTATCTATCTATCTATCTATCTATCTATCTATCTATCTATCTATCTATCTATCTATCTATTTGTGTGTGTGTGTATATATGCATGTGTGTGTGTGTCATATGATGAACAACCCTCAATCCTAGTTTCTATATTTATGGGGTAAGTGCTCGGTGTCAGAGATAGAACGTTTATAGATATAGTCATAAACAAAATAAAAAAAAATCACCTAACTTCTTGGCCTGCTTTGGTAAAAATAGAAACATATATACACCAAGAACACTTCAAGAACAAAACTTACTTAAAAAAATATAAACACATACAAGAAAGCACTCAATGCAGAAAAATACGAAATTAACTTTGAAGTCAAAAAAATTACACTAAAAGTCATCTTAGAAGACCGTATAAACTCGTCACAAAATCACAAGCATTCATTACACTTAAAGAAAAAAAGAAAGCTTCAGAGCTAAAGCAAACAAAAAGTGACGTGAATAAAATAAGTAAAATAATAATAGAAGAAATTTGAACTAAGTATGATTTTATTTCTAAATCAATGGAAAAATTTAAGATTGGTTCCGGAATATAAAAGATACAAAACTGCTCATACATCCAACTTGGTATTAAATATTTTCATCTATTTATCACTGAATCTATAAGGCCAATTCCTTGGCAAAGGAATACATAGAAATTACAATCCATTAACTGAAAATTATAAAAACACTGCCGAAAATTACTATTATTTCACAACGAAATATCATTGTTAAAGAAGAGAACAGAGGAAACATTTGCGTAAGCTATGACAGAGCGAAAAACCTGATAAGAATATAAACACTACACACACTAGCTAGGATTATAAACAAAAAGACATACGACTGTAGAGATATTATGGTTTCATAATCCTAAAAAAATGATAAGAAATTAAAAACAAGTAATTCAAAGAAATATTATTCGAAATCGATATTAAAACATATTTAAAAGAGGTATTATTGGAACTTCTATGAATCTATTGTGGTTTTAGTTTCGTACCAGAAACGTAAACAACAGTAATTTTTTAAAAGGATTTTTAATAGGAGTCTATCGTCCAGTTCACACTCCAACCCAGTCTTTTGAATAGGGGTAGAGGTTTATCCCTTGTTTCCAGTTTAGGATTGAGTTTCCAGTTCCTTCTAAAGTCCTTTAATTCTCTTTCACTCCCAGTACCTCCTTGCGTCTTAGAGGCAACATCGCCTAGCTTGCGTTGAATTGATTAAAAAAAATTCGACATTATTTCTTATGAATATAAACATTATTTTTAGTGGCTACACGTCTTTGAGTTGATATCCCTGTTCTTTACTTTCTTAAACAGTGAAATTAATAACAACCGAGAAGTCCTATAAAGAAAAACTGTGCCTCCTAACGGCGTTCTTTAAGTAGGTATTTGAACTTTGCCTTATGAAGAAGGGTCTCTCCTGTGGTCAAATTGGTAACGTCACGTTTCGGTTTCAGGAGCGGTTTCTCTGACAGAAAAAGGAATACTGGTTCGATTTCTATCGGGAGGCTCAATAGTTGTCTGAACGTGTTTAATAATAATGTTAGATCAACTAGGCTGAACTATTTTAGTGGGAAAACTTATGTACTTGTTGAATTGTAAATCTAATGCTACAATAAAGGGTCATTTTATAAAACTCGGTTGTCACTGACTCTTGTTTTCTTATCTCAAAGAACGCCTTTTAGTAGTTTTAGAAGCCTATTGTAGTTTCTTCACACGGATATTCATACCAATGTCCTGAAATAGTACAAGCTCCTAGTAACAACACATTGCAATATATTGAAGACAAAAAATATAAAGAATTGATTTTAACAGTGAAAATGTTGGAACATGACCAAAAGTAGTCAATCTAGATTTTATATTGATTAAGTATGAAAAGAAATATTTTGCTTATCACTGAAAAAAACATCCATTGGAATATATGTGCATTGATATAATATTATTTCTCTGTTTATAATACATAGTGATATAGTGTGTGCGTGTGTATTTAGATAGATAGATAGATAGATAGGTTCAATTGAATATAAACTAATCATTAGCTGTTATGAAACGACAAAATACATGGGTATAACTTTAGATTAACCATTTCTCACGAGATTCAGATTTTAACTGACATTTCACATCATTAATCGCATCTTTTTTACATTTAATTTTAATCCTTTATCTTTCTCACTTATTTATCGAATGAAAGCAAGGAGAAAAGAAAAATAAATTTCATTTCCGATTAAAATCATAGGTTAATTCATTACAAAGTGTCTATGTGTGGCCATTTAATAAATGAATAAAAGTCCCACAAAAATAGATTGACTTTTTATTGAGATTTTTTTGACATATAAAAACGGTTTTAAAATGAATAAGTTGATTCTACGCTAATTGTTACTATGGAGGCATGCATAGTGTGAGCACGAAGCATATTGTTCCTTATCCTATGACTTATGTGACATTTCCTTTTAGTAAAGTTCATATAATACAAGGCCTAACAAACACTGAAGGTAAATAGTTACTGAATGTGGTGTATGATATGAATATAAGACGAAGTAATAATATATATAAGTTTTATATACCACGAACAATTTTAAGAGAAAAAAAGATGGTCAAGTAAGTAAAACAAAGAAAAACGTCGTTTGCTGAATAGAATTGCCCGTGAATATTTGCTATAAGGAATCAATTGCTATGATTCCATGAAAGAATATAAATAAAATTTATTGTTATTTATTACGTATTTAATTAAATTTAATTTTAATTTATCATAAACAAATGCAAATTATTTATAAGAATTATTATGCAAATTTAGTTGGATGTTAGAGCAGACGTTGCTTTCCTCGGCCTGCCTCACTTCTTCTATCCAGCAAACGATATCCTGTAACTCTTTTTCCCTGAAAATGTCATGGTTCTCGCAGCACTCCTAAACGTTTCTTTTTATTATTTAGTTTCTCATCTTCATCATCTTCAGAGAATTTAGATTGGAGAGAGAGGAAGAGAGAGTGGTGGGGAATAATGCAGAAAGTACAGAATAAAAGAGCCATCCCATCAAATATCATTTGTTCGGTGTACCTGTGCAGCAGTAAACACTTTCTTTGGATTCTATCTCATAATCCACACTGCATGTTTGGCATCTTAACACGAAATAACTTTACAATATATATATATATATATATATATATATATATATATATATATATGTGTGTGTGTGTGTGTGTGTGTGTGTGTGTGTGTGTGCATACACTATGATCAACAACCCTTTGGTTGCATACTAAAAATCTTTTACCATCAAATGTAGTAAATGTTTCTAATAAAAAGATCGGTTGGTTAAGATTAATCTTATTTACATTATAGCCTTGAGCATTAAAGAGTTCGTGAATTTGGTGTGAATTGTGCGTTCAATCCCTGGATTGAGTAATACATGTAATAACTGAGCAACACTAACAAAGAACAAGACGATATATTCATAGGCATGGACAGTGGAACGAGAACAACTACATCCATAAATTCAGTTCAAAATTCCTTGAAGATTAATCGGACCGACAGACACCTGCCGAAACTTTATGATAACAACAAAGATGAGGACAATAATCCGAGCGTAAATAATCTAAATAACAATAACCACTAATCCCACAAATTTAGACAGGGATATTAATTTTAAACATTGACGTGCACACTAAAATTTAACATTGTGTATAATGTTCTATGCATATCATTGATATTCAGTACTGAATTAAGTGCATTAACAAGGAAGTGGATCATATTGAAAAAAATCTGTTGATGTGCTTACATATATATGCTTATAATATTATATATATAAAATCTATTATATTTTATTTCAGCGTTATGTTAAAATTAACTGATGTTTTATTTTCCCGATTTACCTAAAGAAATGAGTCTGGTTAAGAGAAATGTGCCGAAAGATAAATGAATACTTGCACTGATAATGAAGGATATATATATATATATATATATATATATATATATATATATATATATAGAGAGAGAGAGAGAGAGAGAGGGGGAGACAGACAGACAGAGATAGACAGACAGAAATAATGCGTACAAGGATCTGTATGCATATCTTTAGATGCTTACATAATGTACAAGAGAAAGATAACAGGACGAGAATTTAGATTGGAGAGAGAGGAAGAGAGAGTGGTGGGGAATAATGCAGAAAGTACAGAATAAAAGAGCCATCCCATCAAATATCATTTGTTCGGTGTACCTGTGCAGCAGTAAACACTTTCTTTGGATTCTATCTCATAATCCACACTGCATGTTTGGCATTTTAAAAACAATAATCCATTTGTTATCGTCTTACGCATTCAATCATCGTCGATTACGGTTCATTGCTTTTCTTACTATTCTTTTCACTTTGTTTTCATTTTAATAACAAGAAACATTGGTTTCCCAGTTCTTGGTTTGTGTGCCGGTGCGTCAGGGAATGCGTGTGTTTCTTTGGGGTTAAATAATGTGTGTGCTTGTTAATACTAACGAAATAAATATATGTATGTCTCTCTCAATCTCACTCTGTGACTCTCAGTCTCTCTCTTTTCCACAGGGAGAGAGTGTGTATGCTTGTGTGTGTGTTTGTGCGTATGCGTTTGTGTGTGTGTGTGTGTGTGTGAGAGAGAGAGAGAGAGAGAGAGAGAGAGAAGCATTTATGCATACATTTGAGATGTATATTAATATTTTATATCTATGCGATAAAATCTGACAATACTTGTAATATATAAATGCATATAAACACACAAGCACATATGAAAGGTGTTGACGAGGACAGTCTTAATCAGCAAGATTATGAAAAACATGTGTTAAATAAGGGATACTAATGTAAGATAATGTGTGTGTGTGTGTGTGTGTGTGTGTGTGTGTGTGTGTGTGTGTGTGTGTGTGTGTGTGTGTGTGTGTGTAAAATATATTAAATCGTTCGTGTCTAGGACACGAAATGAATTAATCAGTCTATTATTTCAAATATTTTCAGGGTGAAGGTAGTTATAAAATAAATTGTGTGTGCGTGTGTATGTGTATATGTGTGCACGCGCGTGCCTACCTGTGTACATGAATGCACA